TCTTCAGTCAGGCATGTGGACTACACCTCATATATTCATCCCCCACTATCTTCATTGGGTAGCTGTTTATTCCTCACTGGAGTACCATCTTCAACCTGTTGTCATCCTTCAAACTTTGGTGTGGCTGTGACTGGGTAAGTTGTCTTTTCTATATATATTTTTCCCCTCCAGTGGCATGTCCCATTTAGAATGATGAGTGTAGGCAGTCCAGGTATGCTTCCTGTCTCTCAATTCTGCACTGTATGGCCAAATGTATAAGATCACTAGTAGGTTTTCATGGCAATATATTTGCTTCATAAGTTTGCCCATTCCAGACTGTATTACCTCATGGACTTCATGGGTAAAGCAGAAATAGATAGTTGCCCATCCCTGTCATCCCTTTAAATGAATAAATCGGGCTGGTCTGCTTTTCAAAATAGGATTGTTCATGATCACTGATTGCACTGTCTCCAATATCAGTGTTCCTTCAGACTATCCACTACACTTTGTCCCCACTTGTTCTTCTAGTGGAGCATAGGAATCTTTGCCACTTTCCCGGTCTGTGCTGCTGAATTGGTGGACTATGGAGGAGTCCTCCTGGATGTTATCGTTTCCATTCAGTTGAGAGTACGGTGGTGGTGTTCTGCTGGTGCAGATGACATTCGATTCTCCAATGATGCATTCCACCTTCATGCAATGGGTCCTGGAGGTTGATGTTGCACCCAGCTTCTGTGTAGTTCTATCTGGAAGTTGCAATTGCATATATTTTCTAAATGTGATCCACTTCTGTATGGTGGGACCTGGAGGGTGGCATTGCACTCCAGCCTTTGTGCAGTCCTATCCAGAGGATGATGTTGCTTTTGAGTAGATCCATCACATTGCAGTTCACCCCTTCAGTTAGGACCCCTCATCCTATCATCACCTGGATATCAGTTCTCAGTGAGTGGTTTTGGATTTAAGCTAGAACAGTTAACATAAATCCTCACACATGTGTTGGTTGTGTTCTTACTCGCTCAGTTTGCAATATGTAGTGGGTCCCGAGGTTGATGTTACACACAGCTTGTTGTACTTCTGTTTGGAGGTTGATGTTGCTATATGTTTTTAGAGATGATCTGTTTCTGTACAGTGGGACCAGGAGGGTGGCATTGTGCTCTGTCTTTTGTGTGGTCCTATCTGAAGGATAATGTTGATTGGGGTGATGGTTTTCCTTCTCACGGTCCACGGGGAGTTTTCACTGCCTGATCTGATGTTGTGCAGTGGGGTGCATGTCTGATTGAGTTGCATGTGAGCTGCCACAGTTGCACATGACTTCCTACTGTCATTTGGATGTCAGGTACCCAGATATATGGTTGGTTGTGGATTTGGACACATGTTCATTTTGTAGATCAGTTTGCACAGTATATATTTCCATTCTACTTACCTTGAAGTGAAGATGGTGTGGACCCTCCTCCTGCTATGGGTTGGAGGTTCTATTCCCAATACTGTTTGGTTTTGGACTGGAGTTGACCGGCCGCATATGGTCCATCATGCCCTAGCCACTCTACATCTTGTAGCACATCCATTTTAGCTTTCCCAAAATTCGTGTCTGTGGATAGTTCTTCCACCAGATTGAAGATTCCAGTAAACTATGTTTGGGATTCCAACCCAACTGGTTCCCCCCCCCTTTTTTTTGGTTGTGCTCTTTCCACTTTCCGCCTGTGTATGCGACACCTCTTTCCACAATGGATGCAGAGTATACCTGGTACAGAAATGATGCAGTCTCCTACATGTGTTCCTCTGCAAGTGAGGATCACACTTCAGGGGGTGTTCTTCAGATGCTTTTGAAGAATACTTCTTTCTCTCCCTTGTACCAGTCCTTCTGCCTATTCAATATGGGATTCTAGCTATCCATACGAGAGGAGGTAATTTACTGTATCGGAAGTTATTATTCGTCTATACTGAAAATATACGTCAAGAGGGTGTATTGCACTTCTGTTGGTGGAGATTTGTCGCATGGTGATTTACATGCGAGACACAGTTGAACCATATTAATCGTGGGGTACATGGGAATTCAAGGCTTATGGCATACAGAATAAATTTTGCATATAGATGACAGCACTAAACGAAAAAGCAATCCATGTGAGATAAGGTAAGTACATATTGGAAATATACTTTCAGTATAGGAAAATAATAACTTCCTGCAAATAGTACACTCTACAGTGAGTTAAAACAGAATTCACCTCCAGTTAAAATTACCATTAGCTCTCACTAAACACAACTAAAGTGATTGAAGTTGTAAAAACTAAATCTGAAGTTAAGAAAAAAAAATAAACATTTTACTTACAGGTTTCACTACACAAAAGCAAAAGGTCTAAATTAAGTTATTCACATTACAAAATATCCATAAGTTATATTAAAAGTTCTACAAGTCTTGGAATGTAAAAGATTCTTCTTACAGGAGCAGTACTTGGCTTTATATACAAAAACAATAGTAACAAAGCCAGGTTTGCACAAGAAAGACATCTTTCATCCTTGATATGTGTTATTGTGGATCAAGCTCTAGGATATAGCTTCTATTAACATTTATCAGATTCATTTGTAGGGAGGATAGCATGTGATATCCAGAAATAGAAATCTTAAGGAGCAGCAGCAGGCACATAGTACCATCTTGTACTACACTTGGTAGAAAAAAAAACATTCTGTGAAGTTAACTGAGACTTTGTTACTTCGGCATATTTTCCTTCTAACATGTTGAGTTGTTTGAACCTATTTTCTTTACTTTCCTACCCCATTTATAATAGCCTCAACCATATCTGTGCATAGTTTCATAGTATATAACAAAAGAGTAGGAGATTGTATGAGCATACTTATTAGCTAGTCATTCTAATGCTTCCTTGATTCCATCAACAAAATCAGTATAAAATTACACAAAATAAATCTGTTGAATTAATTACTTGGAAATTAATAGTTTGTTAAACATTAACAAATTAGTAATTTTTATTTTATATCTTAAATTCAGTGCTAATTTTTTAAATGAGACATAACTTAAGATATTTTCATGTATTTTTATCTTTTATTTAGAAGATAACCATTTTATATTTTAACATGTATGGATCTTACTTTTATCAGCCCCCCTCTTCCCCACTCCAACCCTGGTGGTTCAGCAGTAAGCCTAAGGCCTTATGATGGCAAAAATTAGTTATTGATACCCACATTGTGCAGAGCACAGATAATTCACTGTGTAATTTTATGCTTAGCAGTAAAGTAACAAATACTTTAACAATTTAAGGGAAGTACCTGTACATTAAATTAAAGAAGGAATCATAACTTCTTTTTTTTTTTGCTTGTTACTGTATGGACTGAATTTTCAGCTTGTGAATGTATAATTATCTTAGATTTTAAAAGTCCAATTTTTTTTTTTATAAATGTATTATTTCAAGTATGATACTTTTATCTTTATTATATAGCCTAGAAGTAATAACTTCTGGTCCATGCCAAGAACTAGACCTAATTTTTCGTGTTCCAATCCAATTCACCCCTCTGCTTATAATTTGCATAACTTTTTTCTTTATGCAAAGTAACTGCTTTTCTTCACATGATTATAGCCCCTATTATCATACTTGTAAGTCCAACTTTGTCTATCAAATGCTGCTACCTCCTTCTGTCTTTTCAATTGATAGTTTACTATCTGAAATAATCACATTTTCTTTTGGTAGTATCTTACAATTATAAGTTTTTTATGGTACCATTAAGGAGTTGGAACTTTTGTGAGTTTTAGAGTTCTTGTTTTGCTTTCATTCTTGTTTCTCAAGTGCCTTTGAGGTAGTGAATTGAAAATATTTTTTTAAATAATAATCACAAGATTCCTAGTTTTCATTTACAAGGCTCACTTAAGGACATTAATATTTTTCAGGCTTCTGTAATATCTCTTTCTGACTTTATGTGTGTAATTGAAGGGTCCTTTGCTTTCTTGTGTACTTCTGAATACATTATTGTGTTGAGTTTGGTGAGTCTCCTCTAGGTTTGTTTTTGTTCAGATTTTTGGATAGTGCTGGTTCTGAGGAGGGGATAGTGCATTTGATTCTGACACTTACAGCTAAGATGTGGATTTATCTGGTTTTATTATTCATTGTGTATAACCATGTTGATTAATATTAGGTATATACTTTTTCTTCTCTAAATATTGTAGATCTCTCCTCTTTTGCAGTAACCCTCAAGAGAAACTTTGTGTCATCTACATGTACACTAATGTGTGTAAGGTTTAGCTTTCTATGCCTATCTACCATTGAGGGTAGAAGATTGTAAGAGTGTCTCACTTTCAGCTGTACTTCATCATTCAATTTGAATATTCAATCGATTTGTACTGCTTTCGGGGGTGGTCATTCTGTCAGAGGTAAAGGATTTGATAAATTCTACAGATGCCCTCTAGTGTGGGATTTCTTTTCAATGTTGGATCAGCTACAGCAATTCAATTAATTGGTAAAGATGGCTGTGATAACTTTGTACTTGGTGTTTTGACAGAGTAGGTCAAATATTTACCACACTCTAGTAGACTGACTGGTAGGTGTTGAGGGTGCTCCTTCACATTGGGCCTGTTGACAGCTTGGTGTTTTGTCATGGAGTGATCAGTAGGAGTCCTTTGCCTTAATAGTCACTCTATTTACAAAATTCACATTGGAGACTCTGAGGCTAGTGTCTGCTGTGGCATGTATATCTTGAGATGAGCCACGAGTCAACTCTGTACAGCTGTACTTCCTCAGGTATCAGAAGTACAGTTATTCATCTTCCTCGTTTATTCTAGCTTGAGATTATAGTAAGATGTTAATTTCATTTAATCTAAAAAAAGCTTCTCTCAGTATATTATTTTACCTCATTTTATTGAAGTATATGTTGTTGTTTTTTTTTTGTGTTACTTCATTTTTTTTTGTTTCTATTCATACCAGAACTGGGAATTATACCTGTATAAAACTTGTAATAGTTTTTCATTTTAACACAAATGACTAGATTTCAGGTTGTTTATGAAAATTTCATCTTTTAAATAGAATGGTTACAAAAATGCCTTGCTGTATATAGCAGAAACGTTAACTATGACTGGTAGTGGAGTTGCGTCAGATTATCTCAGAGTCAAGGGATACTTCAGAACAACAACTATTAGGAAAATATTTGAGTCAATTTGTAAGTCTATTCTGTAATCAATGCTGTAAATTTTTAACCACAAACAAGATTGACTCATAATAATGTAGGGAAGTTTGATTAAACTCGTAACTCTTTTGTTTTAAATAAATATGTTGCATGAAATCTATGTAAAGGGTCTCTAGTGACTAAAACATTATTGCTGTCATGAACAGGCATGGTAAATGGAAATGGCTTACATTTATCAAAAGTCAGTGAGTTATTTGAAAGAAACCATATCTTTTTTTTTTTAATCAGTAAAAGCTAATGTTCATGAAATGTGTACATTTGGAATACATGTAATTTTTTTGAACTCAAACTTTTTTGGACTTGATACATATTGAGTACAATTTTGCATTTATTAATGAAACATATGCATAACATAGTGACATTTATTGCTTAGTCTATTTTCTCCAGTCAGTTTTTAATCTTAACAGTGTATGATCTGTACAATAACTAAACCTCATAAACTATAATCTGCCATTTTAATATTGGCTATTATAAGACAACATTTTTAACAGACTAAACATTGAAAACCCATAATAGTATCTACGTGTATGTGCATGTATGACAGCTCACAACAGCTTAGGAAAACACCTGAGGGTAATAACATTACAGTGTATGTGTATTGTACATTGGTATTTAGTTGCCATTTCATAAACTGCATTATATACTTTATACATTAATTACATTTTGTGGTATTTCAGTTCTTTTAGCTTTAGTTTTGTATTAAGTATACTGACCAAGTTTAATCATTACTTCTAGCGCAATGAGTGGTAATACAGTTACCATAACTAACTTGAAAGCTTGTGGTTTTAATATTAATCTAGATAAGAACATTGAGCATATTTATATATAATGTTCTTTCTCTATGTATATGTATTCATAAAGATGCGAGTTTCTTCTTCACTGTAAATGTTTTCTTCAACATAAAAACATTTGATTTTAAGATTTTGAGTTAATTGTATGTGGTATCTTAATTAATTGTACTGGTTTGAAAAATTTTTTGGTTTATGTGCATCACAAGTATAGTATTATCAGTTATTTTTTTCAATGCATACATGTGCAGTAATTTGTTTTATTTTATCCTTTCATGTAAATGTCTAATTATAATCACTTCTAATTATGTATTTTGTGCTAGCATCTACATTTATTATGATTAGCATGTGCCTCATTCTTCTGGAAGTATTATTTCTTTTTGATAAATTTTCTAGAAATAGTTTTTATATGAAATCACATTTTTATCATTTCTGGAATTCACTACAGCTACATGAATCAGTATGTACTGGATAAATACCCTATGAATCAGTATGTACTGGATAAATACCCCATGAATCAGTATGTACTGGATAAATACCCCATGAATCAGTATGTACTGGATAAATACCCTATGAATCAGTATGTACTGGATAAATACCCCATGAATCAGTATGTACTGGATAAATACCCCATGAATCAGTATGTACTGGATAAATACCCCATGAATCAGTATGTACTGGATAAATACCCCATGAATCAGTATGTACTGGATAAATACCCCATGAATCAGTATGTACTGGATAAATACCACATGAATCAGTATGTACTGGATAAATACCCCATGAATCAGTATGTACTGGATAAATACCCCATGAATCAGAATGTACTGGATAAATACCCCATGAATCAGTATGTACTGGATAAAAGATTATGATGAATGTGTTTCTTAGTTCACATTTTGATATTTCAGATAGTCAGTGAATTTTTAAGTATGTTTTAAATAGTTACACCCCTTCATTTATATAGACAGTACTTTTTGTAAAAATGTTTTCTATAAACATCTAAAGTGTCTAGCCCCTGTTCTTTACAGTTTTTATTTATTTTTCAAACTGATATTGATAAATGAAGTATAGATCATCTAATGCATATACAAGGTTGTTTGTTATTAAGCACCAAGCTACACAGTGCTTAATAACATGGGGCATATTTAAGACTGTAATGTTGAGTTGACAAATCATTACAAATAGTATTTATTTAAAGTATCAGGAATGTGCAGTTAGTGGCAAGTTCACACAGATTGCTAACTGGAAGAAGTTTCTGTAAGAATCATGGAGACAGATTTAGAATTTACAGAATAGAACATATATTTTACATAGGTTCTCCAAAAGAAAAATAACAATAATAATAAAATTATTGTTCAACTTTTTTTCCAAGATAATGTAATGGTTATGAAAGATTATTTATAGTTCAGCTTATCATTTTAATGAAGACTCTTCTCTTCAGTTAACTTTAATTCTCTTCTTTATTTATTTATTTTGGTACTTCGACTTATGGTCTAGTTTCCATATCATATGAGTTACGCTTAACAGTTTTTATATAAATAGATTATTTACAGAGAACTGAGCCATTCTGAATAGGATAGGACACTTACTATTGCTAACTTCTAATGCTAATTAACTCCTGTAAAATACACTCTCCATTGCTATTGCTAGCTAACTAGCTTGGTTTAGCAACAGGTTTTATATTCAGTTTTCCAAATGTAATCATTGCTGATCACCTCCAAGTACAATAGGTTTGATTGTACCAGATTAAACTGATTCTCTCTCATGTGGGATAAGTAGCTAATGAATCTCCATTGTACATGTCATACAGCATGGTTTGTCCTTCATCTTATGATATGACTTAATGGAAAGGTACGATTTTCACAAGTTTGATCAATACTGTATCTTGTATATTCAGTTCACGTACTGAAGGGAATAACCAATCCTCTTCCAGTCAAGCTAAAGTCTACTTTTCCACTTGCAATCTGACTGAAATATTGTAAAACTACTATCCTGACCAATTTATAATAGTAACTAGAGAAACCTCCTCATTCATATCCAACCTCAATCTGACATAAATGTTGTAGAACTAACATCCTGAGTGATTAATGATAATAAATAGGAATACTTCCTCACCTGTACCTAACCTCAGTCTGACAGAAATGCTGTTGGACTATCATATTGGATAATTAATAATAGTTACTACAAATGTCTCCTCACTCAAATCAAACTCTTTTATTGTTTTTTTTCAAACTGTTATCCTGAATGATGTACTTTGTTAACTAGATACATGGTGTCTCTAACCAGGCTGTTAGGTATATGACTGTTTATACAGCTTACAAACCTCTTTCTTGACATGGTTTCTCTAGTGTTTCATGTGCTGCACCTACTGCAGGGGTTGAACCCTGAATTTCAGCATTATAGATCTTCAACCTTACTGCTGAGCTACCTGGGAGCCGTACATTTTCAAAGAGGACATTACTAGCTAAGGCTTGTGATTACTACCATATTGAATTAGTTCAATTTCCTGTTGTACTTAAGTTTTAAATCACAGAAAGTTGTTACAGCATATTTTGAAGTAGGTGTAACAGAATCATTTTCTTTGACTTTTTAGCTATTTTATGTTTATATTTCACATTTATTAGGTAACTTCCAAATTTTAGAAGGCAACAAGTTGATATCCACTTAATGGTATCAATTCAGTTTGAAATTTACTACACCTTATAACCTTTAATAATAAGACAAGTGTAATGAGTGCAATGATTATTTCAACATCATTATGTTAAACTTATTACATATTTATTATTATTACCTTTTCATTTGTATATAAACAGTAATTAGAAGCTACCTTAAGACTGTAAACTATATGTAATATATTTTGTTGTTATTCTTCTTTTATATCTTAAAGAAAAGCCTTCTGGACATTTTTTTTCTATATCATATCATTGTAGTTCTTTGATGTGCTGTAGAATTTTTTCTAGGCTCTTAGAACCTTTTTGTTTGTTTTCAAAAACTTTAAAATCTAGTTCAAAGAACATTATTATTCTTTCTCAGCAATGTTGGGGCCTGCATTTTGTCTGGTTCTAGTACCTTTTGTTGGATGTGATGGAACAGCAGCTGTTTACCTATTCGTGTTTAGCATGGCATTCTATGGCTTTTCTTCAGGAGGTGATGGCCCAATAGCACTTGACATGGCTCCAGAATTTGCAGGTTGGTTGACAGTATTACATAGTCATTATAAGAAATTTATTCAGTAATATTTGGTAAGGATTTAGTTCAAAAACAAATTAAGTTACTTGTGAGCTTCAGCTGTTCAAACTGTCAGTTTATATGAAATATCATGAATTTATTGAGTAAGTTCAAACAAAGAAAGTTAAAAACTTTGAGTAAATTAATCATAAGAAATAAAAGAAGAGTTTAAAATTTAATTATTTTTGGATCAATGAATGTTTAACTTAAAGTAAAACAACTGATAGCATCATATTCTTTTTTTTTTATGAACCTAAGAATGTCTTTGTAACTTGTTAATACTTCACTCAGTAATGTAACTTTCTCATGATTCAAATATTCTTTGTTACATGAACAAGCTTCCCAACCATTTTTGGTTTTCCTCTCTCCCTCCCCTGATATTCAGATATATGCGGATCAATTTATCTCGCAATTAAATGAGGGGCTTAGCATTCTGTGGCCTCCCAAGGATTTCTGATCAGTTCACCCTTTCTTACAATCATGTGGACTATCTGTTTTTAGATTGGCAGTTGTTAGGTTCATTGTTACCAATTTGGCTCCCTATGTGCTTTGTTGCATAGTCCATGCTTTTGTGTATCATCTCTGTGCTCTGGGGATGCAATTTCATTATTACAAGGATGACTGGCTCATTCCAAACAGAAATTGGCCACTCATTCTCACCAACTTCCTTCTGTGGTGGCTTGGGTGGGCTGATTGATCAAATTGGAGAAGTCCTTCCTTTGAGCCACTCAATATCTAGTCTATTTGGGGTCTTTTTCAACACGAATATCAGTCGCGCTCTGCCTTCTCCTTCGCATCTTCATTCAATGGAATTTTTAGTTCACCATGCCCTGTCGGCTCAGTCACTTACTGCTCACGAGGTTCTATCATTTTTGGGGATGTTGTCCTCCATAACTACACTGGTCCCTTTCAGTCATGCCCATATGAGATCCCATTAGGAGGTGCTTCATGAACAATGGAATTCTCTTGCTTGAGATCCTCTTTCCAACCCCATTTCCCTTCCTTCTTCCCTGTGAGACGATCTGCATTGGTGGCTGGACAAAGCACATACATCTTTTCATAGACACATCTCTTCAGGGCATGGGTCAGTCACTAAAGAAGCTTTGGACTGTTTGTCCATGGATGAAGCTGTCTTGCATATCAATGTTCTCAGACGTCTAGCAGTACATCGAGCATTACATCACTTCCTTCTTCTCACTCCTCATTGTCTGATGATGGTTCTATGGTGGTGGCCCATATCAACCATCAAGGGGGCACCCAGTCCAGAGATCTGTTTTTGGACATTGGATCTATTATACTGGGCCCATGCACATCACAGTCGCTTTATTGCATGACATGTTCCGAGTTCTTTCAATCTCATCATGGATTGTCTTTTGCACCCTGACCAAATATATCCAGTGAAGTGGGCATTAGATCCACTTGTTTTCAGGGATCTTTGCCATCAGTGGTGTTGGCAGTTGGCCTTTTTAATAACTTCTGCCCATCAGTTGTGTTGGGGGAAAAATGCTTTATCGTATTCCTGTCTGTTAAAATAATCCTCTAGTTCTTTATGTTGGGCCATGGCTTCCCGTTTATGGCATGAAAACATTTGGTATGATAAAGTTGTTGTGCAAAATGTCCACTCTTGGTTCAAATAGGCCGGTATAATGCCTAGGTAAGGGCTGGCTTTGTATTTGTCTATCCATCTATCATATATAATGCAAACACTCTTCACTCCATTAATATCCTCTTTCCATTTGGTTTTTGGTAAGTCTTATAGGTCCTTAAAAGTTTGATCTCTGGAAAAGTTCTACTTGGAAAGTATTGGCAAAAAACAGAGTGAAACCTGGATATATATTTCTGATCCAGTTACTTCACCTAGTCTTAGGTTCTTTGATTTAGCATTCTGACTAGTTGTGCTTATGTATATCCAAGTTATGAGTGTGTCGTAGATGATCAACTAGTGATTTTGTGGATGTTTGTAAAGCTTTCCTGATTATTCTGTTTTTATGTAATTAACTATCCTTTGGCATACAGTTTTTATTTTGCTAAGCACAATCTGCAATATTGCCATGAGTCATCCAGAAATAAAGCAGACTGTAAAGGATAAGAGACAGAATAATCATGTTGCAAGCTGGGTTTTGTATATAAAAATCCAAAGTAATTTTAAATGGCTAACTTACTATTCCCACGAGGTCTGCATTTAGATATATGCATGTTAGATATTTTGTACTTTTCATTGGTGTTAAAGGAGCAGTGTTAAAAAATCTGTTATTATTTTTTTCTTTTTGAATTAGACATGTTAACTTGAGTTACTGAGAAATGGAGCCATACCCCTCTTTGCTCTACTTTTCCTTGTCTTCACTTGAAACTACTGATGTCATGATCAGCTATACAAGCTGTCTTATAATAATTATAATAATAATAATAAAACTAATACTTACATAAAGTGTCTCATTTCACATTACTTGCACCATTAAAACTTTTTGAAGTCGTGTTATAGTGGTTTATGAGAAGAAAACAGGCCATACAATCCTCCCGTGAGGCCATATGTACACATATACAGGTATACATATATATCACATCTATTCATATAAATATTATTAAAAGTCTTTGTTACTATCAGTAAAAGGTCAGTTTCAATAAGAATGCAAAAATAAATCCAATTCTTTGTAAGGTATTAGTTTTTTCTATACATGTATATATGAAACGAATGCAGTTTATTTGAACTGAGTAAACATTATGAAAGAAAGTGAGATAAATAAATAGAGACATTTCATAGATTTTATTCTATAGTCAGAACCCCAATGAAACTGTTTTTGTTGTTTTAGTTCTTTTTTTAAATGTTTTTCCTATTTTAATATACCACTCAATTAATAGTTCGTTACAGAACATAGTATATGAAATGTCTGCAGTAAGTAAATAAACTATAAATGCATAACAAACAGATCATCTTTATTTGGAAGAAGACAGCTAATTATTTTTTTAGATGTTTGAGATTGCTATTTCTGAATTTACATTTAGATTAAAATAAGGTGTTTTCTATAAAATTTATTATAGTTAAAGCTGTAGCAGTTTTATTACGTGCCTTGGATGTTAATAGTAATCAGGTGACAGCTAGGGCATGGTGTAGCATCATATGGTACTGTAACCAGTTCTGATCATGCAATCAAGTCCTGAGAGCATTTTACATATCAACTTCACCAAACTGTTAGGAACTCAATATCTGGTATAATGAATGTTGGTTCGCAGCAAACAAACATCATAGATGTAAATGCACACAGATATAATTAATACAACATTAACCACATTCAGAAACAAATACATTTTATCTACCTATTTGTTTTGGCATACATCCTAAACAGCCAAGTATGTAATACATTACCTTATTTACTCATAAATGAGATTAAGATTATGCCTTAAAAGTATACAAAGAGTGTAAATCCTAGGTTTCATGGAGTACTTAACTACCAGACAAAGTTGTACAAGCAGCAGTTGCCTGTCATTGCAGTCTTGAAAGACAAAGATCAGCTGTTAATCAGGAATGTCCAACTGAAAAAGCAACTAACAGATAATTAAAAATTTGGTAATAAGCTGATGTCTAAAGAACTTAGCTAATGATTCTGACTTACAGCAACAACTTTGGGTTTAGTTATAATAATGCAGCATGAAGTTCAGTACTTGTAGAGAGTGATGCCTCAAATCCCCCAAGGATTACATATTTATTTGAAAGTTTCTGTTGAATGTTTAATTAACACAAAGTAAGTGGTTTTAATTTAATTTTTTAACAGATTCAAGTTTTATTCTTTTGGGCACTATTTGTAAAAAAAAAGTATGAATGTTATGCTCTGTAAATTTTCTTAATTATACTGAACTGATATTATAGAAAATGTTATTGTTTTTTTTTTTAGAAAATTATGCAGTGTAGTCCTGGGAATAAATCAACTCATTAAAGTTTGTAGGTATAAGGTGTAACAATGTTATTTTTTGTATTGGTGGAAAAATGTGTATATTCATTTTTCTTCTTGTTAAATCTTGAATTTTTTAGGGACTGTAATGGGGATTGTGAATGCAGTAACCAATGTAGCTGGTTTATTTGCTCCTTTAGTTGGTGGATTTTTGACTGAACATAATGTGAGTAAAGTTTCAAAACAAAAAAAAAGCATTGAAAAGTGTTAAAATGAGTTTTTTAGTTTATAATTAAGCATCTGTAATGAAAATTTGTGCATTGAAGTGTATTTTTGCTTTTTATATTAAGCTATTTATTTTTTTTATATTATTAAAATAAGTGAAGAACATAAATATGAAATTATAATGAATTGTTTTAGTATGATGTGATAATAATGTTTAATTTTAATTCACTAAATATACTTTAAAACTCAAATTACAAAAAATTAGAGTATTACAGAGATTTTTTGGTGATGCAAATAACATCTAGATGAACAGATATATATATGAGCAAGAAATCTAATATTTAATTATATCACCTGTTTAAGGCTTGATTTTCAAGTTTAAGAGCTTATTATAAGTCTTCAGAGTAAGCTATTGAAGTATCTTGTAATTCTGAGATAACATGTTTAATGTGTCTTTCATATTTTTGTAGGCCTACAGATAGAAAATAATATTTTTTCTGCCATTTTACAGTAAATCCCTATCTAATTTTTTCAGAATTATGTTTATAATATGTTTTCAGCTATTTTCATGGTATTCCTCCTAAACAATTAAAGCCAGTAAATTGGTATAAAATTTTTGTGTTTGTGCTTGTTTCATCTAGTTTTATTAATTTTATGTTTACTTAATTGCATTGTATAATTTCAATGTATCACTGTAATAACCATCATTATTAACAATCACACAATTAAAAAAAACAATTTCTTTGACCTGAAAGACTTAGAGCTAGCAATAATTGTGTTTACGTTTAAAAACAATATTCTAACCTTCAACTATTATCAAAAAAAAAAATTAGTAAACTAACAACTAATGCACCACTTCCATGTAAATTAAACTTTGTCTGTAACCAAAACCATTTTAAAACTCGACAATTTTTGATATGGTACTTACGTCCTCTCACAAGATTAGCTATTCTTGTTCAGTGCTGCCTTCTATATGCAAACATTTCCTTAATGCATGCCGCAAGCCTTGTGCTCCCCTCCATGTTGGAATTATTACATTCCAACGTGTGTCTCATGCAAATCATGATGCATCATCTATTAACCAATAGCAGCATAGTATGCTCACACAATGTATGTGACTCCTCTACCAAACCTTCACTTCTCATTTGGCAGCTTTTGAGTACAGACGTTTTATTTTGTGCTTCACACTTCCTGTGTGACATTTTTGATTTTAGTTTGAAGTGTTGTTTTTTGTTGTTGTTATAAATTACCACATTTCTCCCAGTTTAATATTGTCACTTTTCTGCAGTAGAAAAGTTTGTGCAGTTTCATGACTTATGAATTCCGAACTCAATGTTACCACCTGTGGAATCACACCAATGACTAATTTTCTATCTCAGGCCTCAGGCACTGGCAACCCAACTGTGTATCTTTCTGATTTTATTCATCGGGAGATTGAATATTACTTGGCCCTTTGTTCCTGTCATTGCCCAAGTTCCTTCAGATTCTGCTGACATTATTCAGCATGATGATGATTTTGATCATCTTTTTCCTCATTCCGAGTTTGCCGTTCCTTCCCAGTTCCAGCCTAATGATTCAGCTAGGCCTTCCTCTACTTTCACAAATTTTTTATCTCAGGTTTGTGGTGTTTTTGTCTCTTTCCTCTATTTCCTATTCCACTCGTCCTTCTTTGTTGCATGAGCATTCTTCTCAACCATTTTTGGTATTACCTCCTTCTCCTGATATTTGTGCCCATGTGGATCATTTTCTTTCCCAGTTAGGTGAAGGAATCAGTATGCTGCACCCCCCCCCCCCAAAGCCTTTGATCAGTACCCCCTTGCTTTCCATTGGGTGGAATATCCATTTTTGGATCACCAGTTGTTGGGTTCCTTATTACATCTTTGGGGGGGTGGCTCCCGAATCTAACGTTAGTCTCACACATGCCCAAAGGGTCTTCGGTCTTTACAATTTCTGGATATAGGGCAGCCTTTTCCCATACCTTCTATTTCCCCTGTTCACACTATGCTCATGCATTCCTTCTGGATTCAGAGGACTTCCAAGCATTCTCCCCCTCTGGATTGGGACATTATTGTGGTCCTCCATGCCCTGACTCTCCCTCCATTTGAACCACTTTTCTTGTGTTCTTTGTTTTATTTGTCCCTTAAAACCTATTTACTTCTCCATTTGGTCTGCAGATGTCACCAATCTGATTTATTTGCAGTTGACATTTCATGTACCCTTTATCATTTTACCTATTTTCTCCTTTATCCTGAGCATTCCTTTCTCCCAAAGACCATGTTGGTTTGATAAGATTGTTTCTTCTTTTTTCTATCTCTCATCTTTACCCTCATTTGGACCCCGATAGACTGCTGTGTCCCATCAAGGCCCTACAGTGTTATATTGCAAGTTCAGCTACCCTCTGGGGTATGCACAACCATTTTTTCATTCCCTGGCATTCCTCCTCCTGTCATGATCTTTCTCCTTCTACCCTTATGAATTGGGTCCACCGTTTGGCCTACTACTCTTTACTTTCTTCTTCCCGTACCCTGTTCCATGTGTCCTCCCATCAAATTCATCATCTCACATTTTCCCTTGCTTCCTGTCTTCGTCATCCATTGGAGGAGATTCTCCAAGCTGGCATGTGGACCATGCACAATATGTTTGTCTCCCATTATCTTCATCACGTTGCATTTTTGTCCACATCAAGGTTTCTCCTTCACCTCTGGCTGTGCTCCAGACTTCAGTACGACTTTAACTGATAAGTTTTATTCATTTTTCTCTTTTTCAGGGGCCTTTCTTTATTCCCTCTTTTTCACACAAATGGCAAGTGGTGCCTGACTAGGTATTCTTTCACTTAAAATCTGCACTGTAAGCCATGTTGACTCACCCTTTCTCGTCCATGGCTCCGCAAAGTCCCTGTAGAGAAGGGGTGTTTCACAAGATCGCTGGAAGATTAACTACCTCACTATAGTTGATTCATAACTATGTCTGTTCCAGACTGTACCAACCATTGAGAGCATGTGTATAGTAGAAGGGGATAGCTGCCCATCCCTGCCATGCCTTGAGTGAATAACTTGATATGGTCTGCTTTCCAAAATAGGGTGTTGTGGTTACCCATTGCACTGTCTCCGGTGATGATGTTCCTCCACACTCTCCAACATGTTCTCATCCCCTATCTTCTTGTGGAGTATAGGAGTCCTTGCCATTTCCATTTCCAAGCCACTGGGGTAGTTGACCATGGAGGCACTCTCCTGAATGGGTTCCACTAACAAGTTGGCTATAACCATTCAGTCGAGAGTAGGGCAGTGGTGTTCTGCTGGCATAGATGTGACGTGGCCTCCACAGGAGTTGATCCTTGCCCTTGCTGGTGGATGTGGCTTCCTGGTACAATTTACACTATCACAGGAGTTGATCTGTTACCTTCCTGGATCATGTGGCCTTCTTATACTATTTACATATTCATCAATATCAACAACCACTGGAGTTGGTCAGTCACTTTACAAGCAGATGTGGCCTCCTTATACTATTTACACTACTGTGGAGTTGATCCATTACCTTAATGGTTGATGTGGCCTTCTGTCACACATTCCATACCACATGGAGTTGATTCGTTGCACATGCAGTTCACTCCTTTTGATTGAATGTTGGTTTCTAGCATTGAGGTATTGGATTCAAGTGAACCAATCAACATAAGTCCTTGCACAAATTGAATCCATCCTCTCAATGCCAGATGGCCAGTCCTAGTTTGCTGTAGGGTGTTGATCCTTGTGTAGTACCCAGGAATTGGAGTGGATCTTAATCCCCAATTCTTGGGTTGTAGGTGAAGACAGTATGATTCTCATCTTATCCTTGTGTGGATGTCGGTACCCCGTAGAGGAGGTTTTGGATGTAGTTGACTTGCCGAGTATGGTCTGATGCACCTTAACCACTCTACATCTCGTGATTTCGTGTGGTTTACAAATTATATACAAGGGTGAAGAGTATACCTGGTTCAGAAGTGGTGCGGTTCCCCTCCTCTGATCTCCAGATCTCTCTCTCATGGTCAGGGGTATTCTTTGACACTTTCAGAGGTGCTTCTGTTATTCCCTAGCACTGATCCCTCTTCCTTCTCAATGTAAGATTCTAGCTAATCTTGTGAGAGGAGGGAAGTACCGTATTGGAACTTATAATTTTCCTATACTGAAAATGTATTTCTGATAGGTACTTCCCTCCTCTCATACTTCCCACCCTTCCTCCCCACTTCTCCAGTGCTCACACCTTCTGCCAAAATTCGAAGTAATTGTTTGGTAGCGGAGAGTGTAGAGGGAATCACATGCATCACGTGAGCATACTACAGATGATGATTTCCATGAGAGACACATTGGAATCTACTAATTCCAACAAGAGGGGAGTGCAAGGCTTGTGGCATGCATAAAGAAAATGTTTGCATATAGAAGGCAGCACTGAACGAGAATAGCTAATCTTGTGAATGGAGGTAAGTACCTATTGGAAATACATTTTCAGTATAGGAAAATTATAACTTCCTTTTTTTTTTATGTCTTTCTCTCCTGTCTTTGAAACTTTCTCCCAAAAAATCCATTAGAACAGAAATCCTGCTCTATTTTTACATTATTTGGTAATGTTCTAATAATTTTACTGGTTATACAGAGAGTGATAGCTACAAATACTTAGCAGTAAAGAAAGAACAATGACATGTCAAATAATATCGTCAGAGGTGACACGAGTCTACTGTTAGGGTAAAATATTCTGCCATATATGGGTGGTTGCACAGTTGAGAAGAATCAGTTGATGGATACACCCTCTTTCACTCTTTCTCTCTCCATATATTCTGTGTAATATATTTGACTTACAATAATGACCACTTATACATACTGTCCCTAAATATTACCACAATATAGTACAATCATACATTTGTATACATCATTACAAACACTTGCTACAAAGGTCTACCCAATTTATCATATTATAATAATATTTTACATTTGAGTTGTTAATTCTCTAAGTAATGTTAACATTTATAAAAAATGAAAAACAGCAGCATATACATGCTTTCATGTATCTTTTATTTTCTTCATTTTTTTCTTATATTTCTTAATGTATTGGCTTTTCTGGCTATTTTTGTTTTCTTTGTAAAAATGGAAAAAAATAATTTAAGGCTGAAAGTTATGGTAACTTACTGAATATTTCTTTAATATTTTCTGTGACAGTGTAAAATAAACAGAATAGCAAACAGCAACATTTTCAGCTTAATAAATACTACATTTGGAATATGGTATTATTGCTCAAGTTGTAATTTAATTATCTCACATCTTCTTTTGTATGAAGTCCCCAAGTGGCTCAGCAGTAATTCTGGCAGCTTAGAATACTAAAAAACAGGTTTTGATACCCATGGTGGATTCAGCACAGATAGCCTTTTGTGTAATATACCAGTCAATTCATGTGATGCAGTACCTATGGATTTCTATGCAAGCAAACTGTTAAAACAGGGGCTGTGAACTAGGGAACTATCATCCATTTGAGGGATTATGGAACATCTGCAGGGAGGAATGGGGTGCTTTGAACAGGAGAATTTTATGATGGTGCCTTTTTCAATAGAAACTATGCTGCAGGGCATGAACAGACAAGGTGACATAGACTGTAACAATTCCTTGAGGCTCCAAAATCACTTTAATATAACATACTCTGTATTTTATGTTTAGCTGACTACTCATTCATTCAAATGCTCATCTTATGCTACCATCTCATTTAGTAACTTTATTAATTAATTTAGTAATTTTTAACTGTTTTCTTGTTTTCATTTCCTCCTTTGTTTTTGTTTTTTTAAAGGAGAGTCTTGTTCAATGGGGCAAAGTCTTCTATCTTGCAGCAGGAATGTACATTCTTGGAGCCTTGATTTTTCTGTTATTTGGCTCAGCTGAAGTCCAGCCTTGGGCCGTAATTCCTGAAGACAGCTGTACAGAACCTCTAAACCCACAAGAGGATAATCATCGAGAATGACCAAAACTTTAGAGGTAAGTGTATTAAAAACTATTGGCCCTTAAATGTTTTTCTTGTATTTTAATGATTTTATATTTTCATTAATATTCCACAGTCTTGTCACAATTGACCAGGTGATTGATGCTTTTTTTCTCTAGTAGCAAATAATAATTTCAAAGCAAAGCTCATTTCATTCTCATTGTTAATGAATTGTTCTCTCTACATAAAGGTGCAGTATGACTCATGAAGATGAAAATGAATAACAGCAGTTTGATTGCCCTGAATATTTAAGCATTCTCAAGAAAAAAGTCTTTTTTTTTAAAACTGATTATTAGTTTGATAGTCTATTAATCTATATAAAATTGACAGCCTTTTGTGTGTGTATGTGTGTGTGTGGAGGGGGGATAGTGCAGGGATTAGGCAAATTAAACAAATGATTAATATTGCAGAAGTTCCATTATTACTAAGTTAGATTATAGAAACTAATATATTTTAAAAAGTACTTTCTATTTCTTTTCTTACTTGTGTATTCAGTGTATATTATATAATTAACAACAATGTTGATAATTTTATGGCTTGTAATCTTGAAAAAATTTAGCCAACATTGAGTATGCATGTACTTGTCATTAACTTGTATTCATTGATTATATAGTAAAACATTTACACATTGTTTGTTTATTTTGAAGAAAATATTTGATTATAGGTAAAATATGCATAACTTTAATAGTTAGATGCTTTTCAATATAATTATATTTTCTTTATGCATTAAACTTGAAAATGAGTCTTGCATAAAAGTAATAGGAAAGTTCTACATTGTGAGGGTTTTAGTGTGTATATGCTATCTTTAAGTTGTACCTAAACAGTAAGAATATTTTAATAAATGAAAAACAAAAGAGTATATATCTGAGAAATTGAGCTCTAGTCATGAACAAAACAACTACATAACCATTTTCTGCTTGGTTTATTTATGGTCTTCATTAAGACAAGAGAAGACAAAACCAACTCTATTTTGTTATAGTTTAGATTTGTTTTTCTGTTTAGTCTTTTTTGTTAACAAACCTGTAAAAAATAAAATCTAAAGAAAGACTGATTTTTTGCAGATTTGAGCTTCAAGTGCAAGATTTATTTTTTTTATACTACATGTATAGGTATTAACATATTTAAAGTACAAACTCTATTGATCTGTTATATATATTTCTGTGTAAGGTAATGAATGTTAAAGGCCCAAGGTTTTATTATAAGGTAATTTATTTTTTTTTGGTTATAGTGTAATTTTGTTATTCTTAGTAGATATAACTGTTTTGAACAGCAAGGTTTTACTCAAGAGAAAATATAAACTATTATTTCCATTATGTGGCTCGTAGCATAAATATGAAGTGTGTGTGTATAAAATTACTTTCATTACCTTTTTCAAGGCAGGAGTGAACTTCAGCTATAAAAACATGTATTCAGTATATAATTTAACTATTTACTAAACATTCTTGATGATGTTACTGAAATGATATGTGTGTTTATGAGATTGAAAAGTTTTTACATTTTTAGTATCTTAAATGTATTTGTGTGCATATATATACACACACACACCAGTACTTGAATCTTTATTTACAGTGTTACAGCCACAATGTAATATATACTACATAGCATGAAACCCTTCATTTCCCTTCTTTCATAAACAGTTATAATTTTATATTTCAAAATAGTACATGCATTGTGCTCTATCATTTCACGTATTGAGATACTTCATTGACTTGAGTTTGTTGTAATAAACTGTATTCTGCTAAAATGCTGCTTCACATTCATTTGTTAATTAGAGGTATTCCAACCTAAAATTATGAAATAATGAATATATGTACATCTAAGACAAAAAAGGCCACTAAAGTTGCCTCGTATCCATCATCATGCATTATTACTGTGATATATGTGCAGTATGCAAATACCATATCTCATCGTAGTAGTTGATACGATACGTATCTAGATATTGATGCCGCTTATCAAGAGACAGAAGTTTTACCAACAGTTTGTTACAAAGTTTGACAGTCTTGTCAATAATTTATTATCTATATTACTAACATTGTCTTATTTAAGTACTTCACACTTTACAGTGCTTTTTCAAATTCTCAGGTTTGATCAACTAAATGGCAGCTGACAAGAAAAGTAATATAAAAAAAAGTTAATATCTGTCTGCCTATTTTGTTATTGTTAATTTGTTATGTTACTTTGCATATAATGTTTTTGGTAAAAGAAATGCATATAATGTACTACTCAATACTCATCTTCCCTTATTGAATCATTAATTTTCAGCAAAAACACTATTAGAAATTCTGATTCTTTCTGTACAAAAGACTTATAATGTTTACTAAAAGCTTGCTAAATTTCATGAAAATACATAAATCTTATCAGACGATGTATTGAAACAATCGTACCACTGCTTCAAGATATGATACTCTGTATCGCCACACCTTACGAGATACTATGTATCTTCTCTCCTACAGCACATCTTACATATACATACAAAAATTTTTTATTTTTCAACATTATGATTCAGGAAAACTTGCATCTTATTGCATTCATGTGCTAAATATGCCCTGAGGTGTTACTTTTCATAGATTGATTGGTAGCGAAACTTATCTACTTACTATTTTAATGAGTAGTTGCACCATGCAATCAATTTTTTCTAATGTACTTTAGCATTCTTCCTGCTTCAGAAAATAAAGTGTATTATTTATTTATATTAACTTTGATTTCAAAACTCTGTTTTGTCTCTCTTTATTTCACCTGCAAGAAATTGCTACACCTGTCCTTCTGCATATTAGGTCCAGGAACCTCTCATTTTGTGAACTAGGTAACTATGTGGAGGCATATCTATGAATTATCATGCGTAACATTTTGTGTTGTGTAGAAAACATTTATTGTTTATTCCAACCAGCATCACAAAGGTATAAAAACGAATCCTAAAAGAAACGAGTTCTCATCAGTAATCTTGTACGTTACTATTTTACAATAAATCTCATAAAATACACTAAAAATAGAATTCAGTTGAATAAAAAAATTTACAGAATACATCATCATGTCAGCATGCTTATGTTATTTAAGATTAAATTACATTTTTTTGGCACAATGATAAGTAAAATTATTTAATATAACTTACAGCCAACTAGTTTTGGTAAACTAACATCATCACGGTGAAATTCTCCAGTGTTTGTTAAGTAAGTATTTAGTTCCAACTGTTAATGGGCGAGTTCATTTTTGAAAAACTAGATCAAGAGATAGGGGGAAAGGTAGGTCATACATGCTAGAATATTTAAAATAAACAGTTCTTCCAACAGAACATGCTGATTAGCCCATCATCTGTGTATATACATAGGGGTCTGTTTTTGATTATGCAAATACTTTCTCTCAAGTTTCTTTCTATGTTAGTTTGTGCATATTTTAAGATTTTTACATTATTACAGTCATAAGTACCATCACAGTTCCAAAAGTGTTCAGCTACAGCAGAGAACGTTATGTTACCATGTTTTATATGAAACTGGTGTTCTTGTTTGTAATTTCCTTCTTGTTTGTCCTATGTACATTTTACTGCAACTGCATTGTATATTCTATCTTTATTCTCAGACGTATTCGGATCTTTGAGTGTTTGTAACTGGTTGGCAATTTTGTTTCGAGGAATTAATGCTACTTTATAATCCTTTAATCGTAATGCTTTCACAAGTTTTTCAGAAATAACAGGAAAAATGGTATACTGATAAACTTATTTTGTGACGATTTTAATGGAGTTAGTTTTGAGTATTTCACCTGTAGTTTTTCTTTCATTTTGTAGAAAACTGTCAATGACTATAGGGTCATAACCTCTATCCACAGCTACGTGTTTTGGTTATTTATTTCCGTGATGTTAGAACATATATTGAGGGCACGCCAGGCACATGTGTAGGATGTACACAGTTTCTGACTGAAAGGGTGGTTAGAGTTGTAATATGGTGACATGCTGATGACAAACGGTTTGTGAAGTGCACTAAATTTTAATTTGTTGTCATGTTTTTTAACAAGAACATCTAAGAAAGATAGTTCATGTTGATTGGACTCTGTGGTAAATTTAATTCTTATGTCATTGTCAATCATGTGGTTCAAGAAGTTTTTCAAGGTTTCATTGTTGTTTTGCCATATCATGAAGGTGTCGTCTACATATCTTCTTGAACCACATGAATGACAATGACATAGGAATTAAATTTACCATGGAGTCCAACCAACATAAACTATCTTTCTTTGGTATTCTTGTTAAAAACATTACAACAAATTAAAATTCCGATATGGTACTTCCTTCCACTTACAAGATTAGCTCTTAGCCATTCTTGTTTATTGCTGCCCTCTATATGTGAACTTTTTTAGTACACTTACCATAAGCCTTCTGTACTCCCTATTGGAATCAAATTATTCCAACGTATGTCTCATGCAAATCATCATGCCTCACCTATCCACCAATAGGAACATAGTACACTCACGTGACGCATGTGACTCCCTCTGTGCACCTCTACCTAACTATCACTTCTCGTTTGGCAGCACTTACACTGAGACATCTTTCTTTTTTCCTCTGATTTCATGTTTGGGATTGTAATTTTTGAAGTCGTGTAATTTGATTTAATATAACCAGTTTTGTTTACATTATTTCAATTCACTTATCCTTATTCTAGTTGCATTTCTTATTTACTTCAAATACTTTTGTCTACTACATCACCATGAATTCCAAAGTTAATGTCACCACTTCAGGTGTTACATAATTGACAGGCTTCAGGTGCTGGTGACCCGATGGGAGATTTGTCTACTTTTTTTGCAGGGAGATTGAATGTTATATGGGTTAACCTTTATTTTCAGGCATTGCCCCTTCCTTCTGATCTAGTGGAACCTGGTCAGGTTAATGAAGGCTTTGATCGCCTGTTTCCACCTCCTTATTTTTCCACGCCTTCCCATACCCTTCCTGATGATTCTGTTCATCCATCCACGTTTTTTCCGGACTTTATTTGTCAGGTATGTGATATTTTATCCCTTACTTCTATATCTTATGACCCACATCCTTTGTTATTGCATGAACTTACTTCCCAACCTTCTTTGGTGTTTTCCCTCATCCCCTGATATTCGGGTTCATGCTGACCAATTTGCTTTGCAGTTGGGAGATAGTGTTATTATGCCTCATCCCTCTACAGGCTTCGGAGCAGTCGGGTCTCGCTTTTCATAGGGCAGACTGCCCATACCTTGACCAACAGCTGTTGGGTTCAGTTTTGCCCATTTGGGGCAGCCCTCGAATCTTCCATTAGTCTCGCCCATGCTCAATTTTCATGCTGCCATCTTATCCTCACGACCCTTTTGTGGTACCTTTCCATGATCCATTACCTATCTGAGGCTCGAACTTCCATTTCTTGCCACATCTCACTTGTCAAAAGTACCTGCTTCCTTCTCTTCTGAGGATCCAGTAACTTGCCAGCATCTATCAGAGGCAGTACAAAACCACTAGAATCCGGGTTTCTATACCCGTGGTGGGCAGAGCACAGATAACCCATTGTATAGCTTTGTACTTAATTACAAACAAACATTTTTTTGTTGTTCCCAAAAAGACTGGGGACTGGAGGCTTGCCATTGATCTGTCCCACCTCAATCACTTTGTTCACCTCTCACATTTCACCATGGAGTCCTACCTCAATCTTCAGTAGGCTTTTTCACCAGTTCTATAAATGACCAAGATGGAGGTCTCTAATGTCTATTTACATATTCCGATCTCGGAATGGTCTTGTCCTTATCTTCGGTTTGTCAATCGAGAGGTGGTATGCTAATTTTGTGCCCTACATTAGAGTTGGCTTTGGCTCCATACGTTTTCTGTTGGGTGGTATGATATTTTGCTCTTCATCTTCATGCTCTTGGGTTGTGTTTCCATTTTTACATGGGCGATTGGCTTCTTCTGGCCCATTCCGAACAGGGGTTGGTCTATCATACTTGTCAGCTCCTCAAAGCTGCTCAGGTAGGCTGGTTGATCAAATCAGAGAAGTCCTTCCTTAGTCCTACCCAATACCTTGTATATTTGGGTGTCTTTTTCAACACTCACCTCAGTTGGGCCCAATCTTCTCTACTCTGACTCTGTTCTATGGAATTGTTAGTTTGCCATGCTCTGTATGCTCCCTCACTTTCTGCACATGAGATTCTGTCACTTTTAGGGATATGGTCTTCCATGATACCAGTAAACCCCCTTGACCATGCATACATGTTCCCTTCAGTGGATTCCCCCATCACCCTTCCTCCCCTTGTAGACAATCATCTTTGGTGGTTGGACAAGACACACATCAGTGGGTGTCCTGCTTCCTTCTCCTCATCTGGAGTTACATCTGTTTACAGACACATCCCTTCAGGGCTGTGGTGCATGGATCAATCACCAGGAGGTTTTGGGTCGTTGATCTCTAGACAAATAATCTTTACATATCAACATTCTAGAGTTCCTAGCCATTCTTTGGGCTTTGGATCACTTTCCATTGACAAACATTGTCTGGTAATAATCCATTCTGACAATTCCACAGTGGTGATTTATATCAATCACCAAGGCGGCATTGGGTCGAGATCCCTCTGTTTTTGGATGTTGGATCTATATTGGGCCCACACACCACACATTTGTTTAATTGCATGTCATGTCCCAGATGTTTTCAACCTCATGGTGGGTCATCTTTACCACCCTGACAAGGTTTACATGATGGAGTCATCCCTTCATACTCTAGTTTTCCAGTGGCTGTGCAGTCTATGGGATGTTCCTCACATTGATGCTTCTGACACCACCCTCAATCACCATTTCCCCCTATTTTGGTCTCTGGTTTCTTCTCCTCGGGCTTTGGCTATAGATGCCTTTAGCCAGGATTGGACACACACATTTCTATATGTTTATCCTCCTATCTGATTACTTCCTACTGGCCAGCTCAACCATGATTTCCTCCTTTAATAAATTATTACCTCCAGTACCACTTATTACCCAGCCTCCTTCGTCAACCCCAGTCACTGGTTC